TCCCATATGACAGCTGAAGAAATTCAAGACTTCTCTGATGTTAAAACAGAGTCAAAGGCTGTTGACAATACCTTGCAGAGGGCTTGTGCTTGTTCCTACATTTTATAAGAATAAAAAGAAGTCAATGAATTATTCTCAAAAAGGATTTAGCTTAAATGCTCTTATACAGTAGATGTTTCTGCTAGAATTTTCTGCTCTAGCTATTGTATTATGAAATATTATAGGGAAAAAAGCCTCATTTGTGTGTGATGTGCAACTGGCTCTGCCAAGATCTTTCAGTATAGAGTAACTTAGCAGTCAAGCTCTATAGAATTCAAGTTAGTTTGCAGTCATCTGAGGGGTATAAAACTTTTTTGTTTGAAAAAGTCAATTCAGCACTGTTACCTGTAATACCATCTGTATTTACAGTGTAATCCTGAGAACCCTGGTCTCCAAATCATCCTCAAAGTTTAGTGGCATGGTAACTGGATCTCATGTACTACCATAATGCCCTGAAAATAACTACCTCTCTTATTTTAGTTAGACATGTAGGAGAAAAAACCTCCTACTTGTTAAGCAGTGCTGTGTGGTACTGAAAGTTTCTGCTTGCTCCCTCCCAGTAGAGCTAAAAGCGCTAAATGCTGCTATCTTTGCACATGCATGAAAACTTATGTCAAACCACCAGCATTATTCATAGATTCAGACTGTAAGGCTGGAAGAGACCATGGAAGATCATAGGGTCCAGCCCCCTGTACCAAGCAGGAAAGATAACTGGGGGTCAGGTGACCCTAGCAAGATGACTGTCCAGTCTCCTCCTGAAGATTACCAGGGTAGGTGATTGCACCACCTTGGGAGGGAGCTTATTCCACAGTCTGGACACCCTGACTGTGAAGTTTTTCCTAATGTTGAGTCTGAAATGGTCTTCCAGGAGTTTGTGACCATTACTCCGAGTTTTCCCCTCGGGTGCCCTGGTGAGCAGTTGCTCACCAAGCCCTTGATGTACTCTCCTAATGTAGCAACAAGCTGCTACCAGGTCCCCTCTCAGCTTTCTTTTCCTCAGGCTGAAGAGTCCCAGATCCCTCAGCCTTTCCTTGTATGGCTTGCTATGTAGGACTTTGATCATACGGGTGGCTCTTCTTTGGACTCTCTCAAGCTTTACCACGTCCTTGTTAAAGTGTGGTGCCCAGAACTGTACACAGTACTCCAGCTGCAGTCTCACCAGTGCTGAGTAGAGCAAAAAAATCACCTCCTTGGTTTTGCTGGAGATGCATCAATTGATGCATGCCAGAGTATTATCTGCCCTACTGGCTACAGCATCACACTGATGGCTCATGTTCATACTACTGTGGTTTACTATTACCCCCAGGTCCCTTTCATTCATGGTGCTGGTCAGTTTGGTGCCACCAAGCCTGTAGGTGTGTTGGGGGTTGCTTGTCCCAAGGTGGAGCACTTTACATTTCTGGACATTGAACTTCATCAGATTCCGATCCACCCAACTTACTAGCCTGTCTAGGTCTGCCTGTATCTGTAGCCTATCTTCAAGCGTGACCACACTTACCCATAACTTGCCGTCGTCCATGAACTTGGCCAGTGAGCTCTTCAACCCACATCCAAATTGTTCATAAAGATGTTGAAAAGTACTGGACCAAGCACCGAACCCTGTGGGACACCGCTGCTCACTTCTCACCAGGATGATGCATATCCATTCACTACGACTCTCTGGGTCCCATCCTGCAGCCAGTTTCTCACCCACCTGACCTTCTCAGAGTTTAGCCCAATCCTGCAATTTTCTTGCAAGGACATTGTGGGATACTAGATCAAAGGCCTTGAAGTCTAGGTATACAATGTCAACCTACTCTCATGTCCAGGTGGCAAGTTACCTGGTCACAGATGGAAATGAGGTTGGTAAGGCAAGACCTGCCCACAACGAAGCCATGCTGACTATCATTTAGGATCTTACCTTCTGCAAGCTTATCGCAGATAGACTTCTTGATTAACTTTTCTAGGATTTTACCTAGGATGGAAGTTAGTCTGATTGGCCTATAGTTACCTGGGTCCTCCCTTCTGCCCTTCTTGTGGATGGGCACAACACTGGCCCTCTTCCAGTCCTCAGGGACTTCTCCAGAGTGCCAGGAGTTGTGGAAGAGTTTTACCAGGGGTTCCACAGTGACTTCAGCCAGTTCCTTCAGCACTCTCAAAGGAAGATCATCCAATCCCACTGACCTGTATTTGTCTAATTTTTTAATTGGTCATATACCAATTCTACGGGAATAGTAGGAAGGCAATTAGTCCTACTGTGCTCATCCTCTACTCTACCTGGCGTGGTTTTCCCCTTGTTCTGGTGAAAGACTGAGGCAAAGTAGTCATTCAGGAGTTCAGCTTTCTCCTGGATGCCAGTAACCAGCTCTCCTGAGTTGTTGAGCAATGGCCCCGCACTCCCATTTGTTTTCCTCCTGTTCCTTATTTACCTAAAGAAGGGCTTCTTGTTGTCCTTGATTCCCGTTGCTAATTTAAGTTTAGTCGCTGCTTTAGCCTTTCTTATCCATTCCCTGAAAATATGGGCCATCATGGAATAGTCCTCTTTGGGGCCTGCCCCAAGCTTCCATTATCTATAAGCCTCTTTCTTCTTTCTTAAGAGGACCATGATTTCCCTGTTTAGCCAAGAGGGCTTCCCAGCCCTTCTGTTACCATTTCTCCGCATGGGAATGGACTTCCTTTGTGCTTCAAGGACTGTGTCCTTAAGGAACAACAACTCTTCATGCATACCTTTTGCCTTCAGACCCTGGTCTCACAGCACTTCCCCTACTAGTGACCTAAACATATTGAAATTTGCATTTTTGAAGTCTAAAACTTCAATCCTGCTATCAGGATTGTCTGCCTTATGTCAGACAGTGAACATGATGGTTTCATGGTTGCTGTTGCCCAGACTTCACTCTACATTTAAGTCTGTCACCAGGTCGTCTCCTTTGGCTAGGACCAAGTCTAGAAGAGCGTCATCTCTGGTTGGCCTATGCACCTCCTGAGTCAGGAAGGGCTCCTCAACACAGGTCAGGAAGGACTGTAACCGATCCAGCTTGGCCTAGTGTTCCCCCCAGATGTCTGGATAATTAAAATCACCCATGACGACCATGCGACGTGCACATGTGGCCCCAGTCAATTCTCGGGTGAACTTCATATTGAATTCCTCCCCCTGGTTTGGTGGTCTGTAGTATACAGCTACAGTTAGGTCTCTCTCCCCACATGCCCCCCCCCCGCAACTTAACCCAGAGGGTTTCAAGCTGTTTATTTCTGGATCCAATGTCAGCCTCCAAGGAGGTAAACTGCTCTTTCACAGAGACCAACGTCTCCACCTTTCTTCCCTACATGGTCCCTTTTATGTAGGGTGTAGCTCTCCATAGCAATGCTCCAGCATTACCTGTGCCCAGGGGGGACAGCACAGCCTTTTCACTGCTTTTGAACGTCTAAAATAGGGATGTCAAACTTGGGGCCTGTGGAACAGTGTTGTTTGACCCCTGCAGCTTGTACAGGGGCCAGGAACTTGGAGGCAGGGCAGGGAGCCTCACTGGCAATGAGTATCAGTGGTGGGGGACAGACAATGGCTGCATTAGCTGCCACTTGCCATGCTGCCAACAGTGTATTCCAGATCTGGGCTGGCAATAGCCTGGCAGCCCAAATCTGGCCGAAGGGGTGAGTTTGATACCTCTGGCCTAGAACAATAATCAAAAGGAAGTTACCTGAAGAATTTAAGGAAGCCTTTCTCTAGAGAGTAACAAATAGTGATTTTTAGACCAAAGTTAATCTGAATTTTATCTCTGAAAGTGGAGGCTATTCTCTGAAGTCACATAATCCTCCTTGTGCTAGAATGGTTGTACCTTAACTGCCCCACCCAACTGTGCAGAACATAAGGAAAGGTTCAGAAACCTCACAGATAAACACAACATTGGCTAGAAGGCCAAATTGGACAAAAATACACTGATCCCTAAACCCATTAGTGTAAACACACTGTCTTACCAGACTATTACACTGGTATAACCAGAGACTGAATTCTTCATAACTTGCATCTGTTGTCTTCAAAGCCAATAAACTCTTGCCTGCTCCAAGACCATCATCATAGCAGACCATCCTCACAATTAAATACAGAGCATGTCTATGTAACACATCCTGTAACCAAGTAGCAAAAGAGATTTTCTGAAACAGTGCAAACAGTACTATTTAAATGTCTTGTATGCTTTGAACTGCCTTTTGCAAGACTTTAATATATTTCAGAAGAGAATCTTCAGCTTGACTTATTTACAGAAGAGAAGCTTACGTGCCCCTGGTAACAGCTTTTATGACATGTCTGACTCCTTGAGAAAAGGTAAAGGATAAAAATGCTATTGTAATGATTGTGATAGGACAAAAAACAAAACAGAAATAGGGTCAAATAAACTGGGGAAAAATATCTTGTATCCCTATGTCAGTTCATTTCTTTAACTGGAAGATAAGCCGTTCAAGACACAAAACACTGGCTTTTAAATTCTTACCTAGAAATCCTGGAACACTATGCTTAGTAAAAATGATACATTCTTAACTTAATCTGGAATGCAGTTTATTTTTCTCTGCATCAAATACAAGCAATATCATATCTATAAAGGTCCTATGGCTATTAAGTTTCTAAACTACAAATTGATGTCAGTGGGGTGGCACCAGTACAAAGACTAAAAAAAAGCAAGTGCAAACTGCTTTAGTCTTTATCAACGCGTCTCTTTCAGGCTGAAGCCAGAAAAGCAATGGATAAAAGGTTTTTAATTTAGATACCATAGTGAGGATCTGTCACCTTCTTGAAAGTGCAATGGGATTTAAATAACATGGTCTCACACATGTAAGACACCTTTCATCCAATACCTGTTGGCTTGGATGAAAGGTGTGACTGTGGAAGGACTGCAGGACCAGAGGCAGTGCTATTCCTGAATTCCCCACCTTCCACCCAAAAAATAATAATTTGAGAAGAGTCACTTACATACTGATCTGATGTTGAGACTTTAATACCATATTTGGAAACTCCCATAATAAATTCCTCTTCACTGGGAACAAAAGGTAACTTTCCATCTTGCTTTGGAAGAAAAAAACAACCTTTAATGTACAGAAGTGACAGTGAATATACACACTGTATGGCCTTCATTTGCTTCGTTACATTTACTTCAGCTTAAATCAGTATTCACTTTTCTCCATCCTTAGTGCATGGAATACAGGTGCTATGCTTGGCTTTGTCCTGCAAAATTGTAAAAATGTCTTTCTCCCTCCAGCAAACACTGCAGTTCATCCAGTTATTCAGGGGTGAGAAAAGACATTCTGAAGAATGAGGCTTCTTATGTTACCTTGGTGTGTTTGTCCTATGAGTCAACTACCTTATGAGAGGAAAGCCATGTGGGCAAAGCAACATTAGCACCAGTTTAGTGTGCACTCGTGCAGGCAATGCTTGTTGCAAGACTGGGAACATGTGCAAATGGCTATGTACTAGCATTGCAAACACCTTGTTTCTGAAGTCCAAGAGGCAGTTAAAGCTTTAACTGACCTTGTGAAGAGAATCCTGATTAATCTTGTAATAAAAGAAGCCACTGATTGTGTAAGTACCATAGATTCTGTTCTGGCTCTCGTATCACAAAATCTTAAGTGACCAAGAGTAGTCAGGATCCCCTTTTTTCTTTTTGATGCTACTTAGCTAGTCCCACCACTTCCTGCAGATATGCCCTTTGAAGGCACACCCTTCCACCACTAGCTAGGGCTTCCTGTATTAAAGCCCATCCAGTCAGATGGATTGCAGAATGGCTGAGGGGTCGCACTCAGAGGGTGGTGGTGGATGGGTCATATTCGACCTGGGGGGAGGTGGGTAGCGGAGTGCCCCAGGGCTCGGTCCTGGGGCCTGCGCTGTTCAATTTCTTCATCAGCGATCTAGATGATGGGGTGGAAAGTAACCTGTTTAAATTCGCTGATGACACCAAAATTTGGGGGGAGGTGAGCACGCTAGCAGGGAGTGAGAGATTGCAGAGGGAT